TAATTAAAGTAAATAATAATTTTAAAATATTGATAATTGTACGTAAATTCGTAAATTTTATAATAGAGTATAAGAAAATTTAACTATAAATCAATTAAAGCACCACTTGTTTACACATAAAATTTATTATAAGTATATTAAGAGCAAAAATTAATTATTTTAAAATACTAATTACCGTTATGTTAATAATAATTAATACTATATTAATAATAAAAGGCAATATTTCAAATTACTTAACAAGTATTTTATAATTTGAATTGTCACAGCATTCATTATATGGCGTATGTTATATCATATAACATCTGATGATGTGTTTTGGACTGGTATCGACACGTATATAAACATACAGTGAGTAATATCTTTTTATATGATCCAATAGTAATAATAATGACGGAAAAAATGTGAACAGTAAAGTAGATGATATGCTTTAAGTTCTACTATTCAAAAACATAGAAATTAACCGTTTAAAATTTATCGGCTACTTTTAGTTACTCGTTACATAAAGAATTTTAAAAACATATTGTGGAATTATTATTAATAGTAAATAATGTAATTTTGTAATGGATAATTGTTAATACAGAAATACGACGTATACTAATAATTTATCTACCATCACACCATTTTGGATCGCTATGGAAAGTGCTCGAAATGTAACAGATAACTCTAACCTTAATATGAAGGATGTAATCGATATTTCAATGGAAAGACTTTGTCCTGTAGTGAACGTGACGCAAACGACAGATTTTGATTTTATTCACGTAACAGTTTTATGTGCTAATTCATCTATTTATAATAAATTATTTACTGACATGAAACAATATCGACTACATATGACATATACGACGGAATCAGTCATGAACTTTGATACATCAGATAACAAAAGTTATTTTTGGCTACCTATAATATCCAATTATACATTCAATTATACATTTGGTACAATTGACTGGCATGGCAAGAATTGGATCATATTCAATTTACAACAAGCTGGTAAATATAAAACAGTAACTTTATTCTACTGTTTTTACTTTCTACTAATTGACGTTTCATTATTCGATATTTGATTATTAGAAATTATTAGTTTTTTATTTACTAAATTTGTAATATTTGTAGGTCATTAGTCAAAATTGATAAAAATATGTTAATATATTATATGTGTAACCACAATTAAACTTAACGTTTCGATCAATGTTGATTCATAGCTTACATCTTTGAAATTAATTTATTATTAATTTAAAGTAACTTTGTAACTAATTATTCGCAATAAACGTGTCTTCAACTGATTTTTTAAATATTTTGTTAAAAAATTAATTTTTTGAAAACGTTTGGCACAGAAAATAATCATATTTGCAAGCATTTCTTGATAAATTTGAAAAAAAAAAAACACTAATAATAAAAATATTATTTTTGTTATAGGGTACTATCGTGTCAATTATGATTTAAAAAACTGGGAAAACCTTGGATATTATTTGTATCATATAAATCATACCAATATACATGTTCTCAATCGAGCCCAAATCGTGGATGACGCGTTTTATTTTTTGATGCAAGGGCAACTGAATTTTAACATGTTTTGGCATATTACAAGCTTCCTAGTTAAAGAAATAGATTATGTAGCATGGTATCCTATGATTAAAGCGGTCGAACACATGACGTGTGTTTTCCCTGTTAAAGGCATCGATAGGATAAAGGTAAATTATAACAAGAATAAATTTCTTTAAAAAAATAACATATGATATTAAAGCACTGTATAGAAAATTAATTAAAATAAAAATGTGTATGTGTAAATATACTTATATCATGTTTTTCAAAAATAGCTATAAATCTAATGCTTCTATTATTTAATAATTTTTAGAATACAATCTTAAATATGTTTGAATTACTTCTGCGCAATATAAAATATCATGACGAAAATGACAAAAATGATTTTATTAAATATCTAAGAGAAGAAGCGGTAAGATGGTCATGTATTTTAGGTAATTTGGACTGCCAAAAAACGGCCACTTTTGAATTAAAAAAAGTTCTTGGAAGCTCTGTACGAAACGTGTAAGTTGTTTTATAATCACGATATTTGTATCAGCAAATTGTGTGGCATTATTGCCTTATGCTAAATAGATTATTTTAATATTAAATTATTAAATAATGTAGTTAGACATTTGTATAGAATATTTTTTTTTTCCTGATAAAACAGACGTTTGTTACGGAAAGATTGGGTATATTGTAATGGTTTAATGGGAGCAGACAACGCTACTTGGTTCGAAGTGTTTAATAAATGGAGCAAAACACATGATAATACAGTTTTACAATACTTAATTTGTTCTCAAAATTATGATATTATTTCCAATTATATTCTTGACATATTGACAGACAAATTTCCTGTAGGAATAAAAAAGAATGAGCGTATTTATATACTCTTCCGTATCTTCGCGAAACATGCCAAAAAGGATGAAATACTCCAGTATATATTCAGTTATTTTAACCTGTTTAAACTCACTCCAAAAAAGTAATTACATTTTTATTTATACCTATATTATAATATTTATGAATATTTATTATATTTGTTAAATATATTACTTTGCTTTTGTAGGGAAATTAGCCAAATTGCCACATTAATTGTTATTATAACTCATGAGCATAGTCCAAATCAATTGAGAAAGGTATATTTTCCTATATGCATATAACATTACTTGACTTTATTATATTGAGCTTATTTATGTTTAAGATGTAACATACGTGACATCTCTGTACATATCTGAATGCACTTAACACAACAATTTATGATCTCTGAAACTGTAGTAGAAGAAAAATTTATATTTATTTATATTGGTTGTTGTATCTTCAAATAATCTATTCTAGATACGTAATTTCATAATATCAAAAAGTAGTTTTAATGAAATGCTACCAGTTCAAGATGCAGTTGTACAAAAAATAGAAAAACGAAAATCGGAATACAGTAAACAGAATACAATCTACGGGCAAATGGAAGCATTAAATAAACGTAAGAGAAAGTAATAGGCAAATAATTGAATCCATGGAAGACAATAATTTTACTTTCTGCTCATAGGCATTTATATATTAATAATTTTTGTTGTCCTGTTCCTATTGTTGTATTTTATATTACTTTTAAATTCTAAATTATTTCAATTTTGTTTCAATTACTTTTAATATTTTATTTATCTAATATTTAACATTAATTAAAATTTTTATAAATAAATATAAATATTTAATTAATTTATTATCTCCAGTATCGTAATTTTTTTGTATGTTTGTTATTCCTTTATTTGGTTTTTTTTAAACAAAAATTTTATATTTTATTATTTTTAACATTATACCATCAATATAACATTATATACTATTCGATATTTGCAAAGTTTATTGGAAAGATGGATTGTATTTTTTCAAAGTTAGTGTACATATGTATAGTTAAAGGAGTAAAAAGTTATTTAATTATTTCCAGTATTGGTAAGACGTAAGTTTCTATAAAATTAAACATTGTTTTTTTCATTTATCGTGTTTTTAGTATTATTTTTAGTGTTATTTAGTATTTAGTATAAATTTTATATAATTTTAACTTTTTTATCTTATATTTAATTTTATATTTTTTATATTATTTTAATATTATTTTATATTTAGTTTTATATTTAAAAAGAATTTTTGAATAAGTTATGTTTCTCGTAAAATTCTATAATATATAATCTTTTGTTTTTAAAATTTTGTTTCTTTTTTCACTATCAGAAATCATTCTTTCTCTCTTTTAACTATTTTTAATGAAAATCTTACATCGCTTTAGTACGATTAACTGCAATAGTTGTTATACTTATAATCTTTATTTTTCTTATGTAAAAGTTAAGCAGAATATGTTGCAAATGTATGTGTTTATTTTTACTTAAGAAATTCTTCTTCAGTAATTTTAAATGAAAATTAGTATAGCGTTCCGACATATCTTATTAAACGGATTAGTATGTATCGTGACAATTATATTATCTACTGCAGAATTTACGAAAAATTACACTGAACTTAATAACAATGTTTTCAATGGCAATCATTTCAAACCGTTGCATTATGATGTCAAAATAAAATTTGACCTACAGAAAAATTCTTTTTGGCAAATGCTAATCAAAATACAGATGTCTCATCCAACGGAAATTTTATAGAAATTATCATTATAATGGACTCTGAGGGTATAATAAAAATTGACTTGATTAACAATAATAATAATCGAATTATCAACATCCCAAAATATTTGTTTATCGAACAATAAAACCCAGTCATCAATAGATTTTTGTATCTCCTGATACGTATATCTTAAATGATATATGTTTGTACCGAATTAAATAATGGAGATTTCGAATCCTGCAACACAGATCAAGAAAAAGTGTAAGTTAATATAATCAATTTTTAGTCCAATTGTTATTAAAATTTTATATTAATTATACGTTTAAAATAAAATAGATTAAACAATAAGAGATATTACAATAATAAGAACACGACCACTATTTCCGTTGAGACGGTATTTCAACTTTTAATATTTCTATCAACTATCATAAAAACTACAAATTTTTATCGAAAAATTTTTATGCGAAAAAAAGTTAAAGATATGAATAATACAAACTATGAACTTACTTTGACAAATCACTTTTAATGTCCGCTCAACATTTAACAATTGTGATAATAATCACATTCACTGATACCTTCACTTCTACTGCTAATGTCAAATTTTTATATAGAAAAAACATGAAAGACCATATACAACTTGCAGAAAATATTACCCAAAAAGTTGTGTACTATTTGAAGCAAAAAAGTAGTACAAAAAAATATCAAAAATAGATTACTTTTCAATTAGGAACTTTCAATGCAATAGCATAGAGACATCGGGACTCATTCTACGCTAATACTCGTTAGTAATACTCGGTAATATTTCTAAGGTAATACTCGTTATCAAGTAGAAAAATTAAGAGCGTATTAAATAAATAAATACATCTCCAATCCATGCATTCTCCTTTCAGTTCTACTTCTCGAAATAAGAAATAATGCCTGTAATGTATTTCTAAGGATGCCCCTAAGGATATTTAATCTGTGCTTATCCGTATAAAAATTGATATATACCAACGGTTTAGAGAGTCTTGTCAATTCAGACTTGAACAAGCTTTAAATTAAATCGCACTTATCGCTCGCAACAGCACAACACCGTGCCGGAATGGAAAGGGAGAGTGATAGATGGACAGATAGAAAATGCATTATTATGTTTTACATCTGCGTCTCTGCAAAGCGAGCGAAATTGCCTTCGATTTACCGCGGCTCGCTGTCTGACACGCTTTGCGCAAAAAGACACAAAGTAGCCACGAAATACGCGCGTGAAGCATGCGAGCGCGGAAGACGGCCGCTTGCTATCGGCGATAATTACCGACGTCTAGATAACGCGTCGTTACACATCAGTGCGTTTTACATCGGGCGGGATCTGTTAAATTGAATCAAATCGCAATATGTTCTCGAAGCGCGAAAAGTGGGCGAAAGGAAATGGGAAGGGAATCGCACGGTGACAGCTCGTCACGACACACGCGCGCGCAAGTGTGTGTGTGGGAACGCGTGATAATTAAGTAAATAGAAAAAGAAGTTACTGCGCGTACACACGTCCGGCGTAGCGCGTGATAATGGCGCGTTTGTGCTGATAAACCTCGTGATTGAAACTTTCCGTTAACGGGCTCGTAAGTGACTTATTATAAAACGCGCGTATGCAGGTAAATATGCATACGCGAGTTCAGTGAGGTCGCTCGCTCGGGCCTGCGAGCTTTGATGTCGACGGGAAACGATTTGACCGGTTTCAAGACACTCGTTAATCAGCCAAGTGCTCCGCCGGTGGTATCTAATTGACGGCTAATTGAAGTGGACTGCTAAATGAGAAACGCGATAAGGAACACAGCGCCGGATTATTACAAAATGCATTGCAACAGCAAGCGCATACAAATAGCTGAGATTATTAACGATTTTTATGCGGCCCCGACCCGATGACGGCGACGATAAAGAATTCGCGATAGTGCCTTTGGACGCAGCGCGAATTTGCGTTTTTTTTTTTTTTTTAGCGAAAGTGACACCGGGGCCGACAATTAACTCGCCGTCATTGATATTTAAACGATTATTAATCGAAAGTGTTACAAATCGCGCGGCCGCCGCTTGAAGTGAAATTAACAAATTTTCGCTCGTTCGATATCTCCAATCGAGTGTCATGTGCAATGAATAAACGACAACGCGTTTACTGTATTAAAAAAAAAAAAAATCGAAAACGCGTAGAAGGCGTCCTATTTTTGTCGCCCGCGGGATCAAAGCGCGTTAGAAATGATTGGTGATATTTTTAGAAGCGCGTAGAGACAGGTGTACGTAAAAGTGATATCTCGTTTGAGCAGAACGTATGCCTTTCTATTTTGCGGCTGCCGCTTCTACGATACCGATAATGATTTGTCTAGTGTTACGGCACGGTCATATTTATAGATAGCAATTTACAATTTTTTAGGAACACGTGTTGCGCGCGCGACGCGAATACGTAAATAAATCTCCGATCAATGCGCGTGACTCAAGCGGCTCCTGGTCGCCGTGGAAAGCAGCAGTTGGAGCGACTTGGGAGACAGGCGTCTGCGATTCAGACATTTTCGTGGTTATCGTCGCATCTGTCGCGCTGACGGATTTTTTCCCGAAGGAGCGAGGGAGGAAGCGTGCCGAACATACGTTTCCGTCTATTTTTGTGCGTCACTTCGGGGCACTTACCGGCGCGCGCGCGCGAGCCCACACGTTGGTCGTTAGGAACGACCGCGCGTTTCTTTAGGACGAAGATGCGACCGACCGACGCGCAGCTGCATCTGCATAGACCTCGTTCTGGTTCTGCGCCGCAGAAACGAGTTCGATGAAACGGACGAGCCGAAAAGGGGGCTGTTCCGCGCTGTCGTTACGACTTATGTACTTTCTAAATCTATTGCCTCGTTTTACGGATCTCCGTTAACACGTTCCTTGTCCGAGTGATAAACAGCCCGTCGCGAGACGCACCGCGACAATATTGTTTACGGCCTTTCTGTGCCGGAGCGAGGCGCTTACTTCAAACTGCGTATTTTTCACGATATCTCGCGTTATCGACTCAAAAAAAAAGATGGCTGCATTTTTCATGTTACTTGGATTAGTCATGAAATGGACTTTTCACTTTCCTTCTAAAGAAATATTTAGAGTGTAACAATTTATTTGTCGCGCAAACGGACGTAATCGAAGAACAAAAGATTGCGTGAACGACTCGTGGAGAAATTTCGTTTTCAATAAGTTGTCGGCATCTTCCGGACGGAATTGGGACCCGCGGAGTGATTTATGCCGTCTCAGGATGAATCATGCTCGCCGGCAAAAGAGCCGGATAAGTATATAACCGTCGATGTCGGAGATTACCGAGACCCGTACTTGATACGAGTTTGAAAGTAGGAGTGTGTGTGGGTGCGACGGCCAGGCGAGGAGGATCGACTCCGTATGTTTCCTTCGAAAGCCTCTCGTCGCGCTCTCCTCGCCACGCGACTCGGGGAGGGAAAAAGGCAGACTATACGTGAAAGCCGTATAGTCGCGCGAGGACTCACCTTACAGTCGTTCGTAGCGATCGCGTGTTGGCGTCGATCGCTAATTATGCATTCGATAATTTTCAAGGTTTAATTTTATTATCAATAATAAGCGGAGAGCTATTTATATCCTAGCATCTCTGCCACGTGTACATTTTCGCCTTTCGTATGTCTCAAACAGATAGAAATAATCTCGCGCCGCTTACGCCGGTTTTTAGGAAATGATCGGCTTAGTCTGGACGCGTTGATAGCTTAAGGCGATTAGTTCAGATAGGCCCCGTGTTTCTAGAACTGTCGTTCGGATATCGCGTTCAGGTCTGAGGCGAGAAAATTATGACGACGCGTCGTTTCAAAGAAACTCGAAGTGTTATCGGTAGCATCGTAAATTAACCGAGAAGAGAATAGAGTTGTGTCCATTCGGATTTACTAGGAATAATAACGGGACTTCCTTATCGTTTGCGATACTTACGATCGGCGTCATATATATTTCGCAAGAAATGCGTTGACACGCAATGTTTGAACGGGATCACGCAAACAGTCATAAAGTATTTATCGCGACGCGCCGTATGGCTTCGTCGTTTGAGATCGATTAACTGTAATATCAATTTATAAATATTCTTTACAATCGCGGAGTTTTATTGAGGTTGATTTTTTTTTTCAAGTATGCAACAAAATTCGTATTCGTTTTTAATTTTACAAAAGTTCCAACAATAGACTTTTCGCGAGGTGAATTCATTTAGTCTGAAAGGAACAACAGCGGGATGAAGAGGTCACGCGAGAAGATGCTCTTCTAAGGATCTCAGAGGAAGGACCTGCTGGCACATGTTTCGGCTTAAGTCCCCTTCAGCGGCACCTGGCGTGTAGTCCTTGAACTTCTGGGGGCCGCACCTTCCGGGTACGATGAGGGGTCCACGTGTATGGATCCTCGCACACATCCGCATATAAGCGCACACCATCGTCACGCTCGTGTCATCTCCCCCGCAGTAAAAGCACAGCAGTGGCGTAGCCGGTATGTAAATCAGTTCGTTTCTTCGCCGCGAAGACGAACGAAGAAAGGTGAATCCTTCGAAGATTCACCGCCTTCGATTTAGGCAAACACGTCGTCGAAGAGTACGAGACGTCTAAGAATCGCGAAGACGATGAGGCATAGAATTGTGAAGAAAGATAGGCTGGTTCAATCGTTCGTTTTCTCGTCCATTACACTGAAAAAAAAATCGATGACAAAATGAACTATAATTGCATGGTAAAAAAATTATAGTCGGAATACTCATTTTTATAGTAAATTCTACTATAATACTAGTTATATAACCCTATTCGCATGGTTCCGAGAAACAATGAAACTTTTTACTATAAATTTTAGTGAAATTATGGTTATTTCAACTATTTTTTTTTCAGTGCAGCCTCAATAATATTTTTATGACAATTTAATAACGTCTTATGTAGAGATAATTTAACTTTGCAACAATTAACTCTTTCTCAATGAAACGACGAAAAAAATTTAATAATGAGAAAAATACATGCGCAATTATGCTGACGACGGATTTGATGTTTTCATCCAAATCCATCGTAATAAATTAATCTCGAAGACTAAGACTGGAAATAAAAAATTTGTTGAAGAAAGCATCGGCTGACGCTACTGCAATGTACCCTGCGGCACGCGCTGTGATGGGGAGACACCCTCTCTAGCAGGATTTAAAACGTTATATACGGGTTTTCCCGTGTCCTCGGCATCCGCTTGCCGGGATAGGACACGTGTCGCAGACACGGTAGTCTTAATGCGTCCTCAGAACGTGGGGGAGAGCACGATTTATTAGGAACCAAGGATGTGATCCGGATCTTCCATCGGAGTTAGGAAAGCATCCGGAAATCCAACAAAAGTGAAATGAGAAAGAACGTCAATAAATATCGCTCTGAGCGAACACAAAAAAATCAAGTTGCATTTTCTTTGTTGAAAAAGCGTAGAAGCATCGTGAAAATTGCGCGGGCATCCTGATGCGCCGTTCTTACGTTTTCGACGTTGCGAAAAACGTCGGCTAGCGGAACCCGCGATAATTACATCAAACGAGCGCTCATCGCGTCGCGAGAAATGGTTGTGAGGGACACGCTCGCAGACGGCAAGGACAGCGTTTCTCCCGGAGCGAAATAATAATGTCAAGCGGTCGGTTTGTCTCTCCGCGCTCCCTTTTCTCTCTTTCGCTTTCACGACTGCCGCCGCCGCGAGACGGGGAGACATGCAACCTCGTGCGGGCACAAATGAGAGCGATGTTCCGTCTGGTCGACGCGAATCCCCGGCGCATGTCGCGAGCCCACGCCCAGAATTCCCGATCCCCTACATCACCCCGGAGCCACCAGATGATATTGTTGCCCCGAAATCTGCCGATGTTGCCCCGGCGCGGTGGAAGGGAACGGTGGATTCCACGATTCGTTGTTGCGAGCACAATGCGAACCTTTAAGTACATAAAGACGAACACAGCGTCCAAGTTCGTACAACTGCGTTCCCCTTGGTCCCTCTTTTCTTCAATCTCTCTTTTTCTTTCTTTCAAGATGATAAATCGACAGAGATATCTTTGCGATCATATCTTACGACGTATTTCTCCCAATCTAATTAGGTAATATGATTTTATAAATAATTTATCATGTGCTCTTTGCATATTTATTGTCTATCTCACATGTCAGCTTTCATCCATTTGTCTCTAGTATTTTATCGTGGATGACATCCGAGCGAAAAAGACGCGAGATAAATTCTGTCAAGCGCTATTCATCTATTGTGTCCCGTAAAACACTTGCATTTGTCTTCCGTGGCACGATATATTCTTTAATAACAGAGTATTCCGCCAGTGCGCATACATTACGCGCACGCGGAACCCGCAGAAAATAAAGCGATCTCCTTGATTTATCCGCGACCGTCTCGCTTCTCGCCGCGCTCGTCTCTTTCTCACGGACGCGCGTAGATACCATCGAGCGATTCATGTGTCTCGCCGATCCTCCCTGCCGATTTGACAATGTCGCGGCAGCCACGGGGTCAGCGAGACACCTAGGATGGAAATGCAAATACATACGCGACGCTCATGCCCGCAATTATTGCGCCGCGTCGCACATAATCGGCTATTTGTAATTATAATGCCGCAATTAGAGGATTGTCGTGATCCTGAGAGATCCACTGGCGTGATCGCGTGGACGATTAGACTCGGGCCACCGTGTATACCACGCGATTCAAGCTTCATCTGAAATGTAAAGTCCCCCACCTCTCGTTTGACCCGCTCGGCACGACCGGGTCTTGGGAAAACTGCCGGAAGCAAACGCCGTGACATTCCTCCTGCGTTTTTCCGCCTCCCTTTCGGTCGGGAGAGCGTCGTCGAACACGTGGGATTATGACGTAACAGAAAAATTGTCGAAAGACGCGTCGCTTAATGATATATGAATAGACGTTCACGCGTGCGCTTGAAATATCCGCCGCCTGCAATTTACACAAGTGCCAACGGCGTGCGTTTTAAACCGGAGGATCCGAAGAGACGCGTCCTTAAGCCGAAACGTATGGCGGTAATATTTCCATACGGCATTATTACCGGAATAGTTCGCGCGATCTCACCCGGATTATCGTATATGCTAATTTACCTTCGACGTGTCGCTGCGCAGAAAACACGCTCGGAGATCTTATCCTTGATCTTATCCGTGTAACGAGACGATCGCAACGTTTTTATGATCCGAGTATCCTTCGCGAGTCGGTTGACTTTGTGACTTTTTTTCCGCGAAAAAACGAGCCAATCTCCCATTGCACGATCACGTTTCTCGATATAACCGCCGACTCGGTCGAGTTTAAGGATCATCGAAGCGCCACAGTAACGGCGCATCAGCCACATTTTTTATCTAGGAAAGTGGCCCGCGCAAAAATTGCGACCAATGTAGTATAGCTTTACAGAAATAATGAAGGAGAAACGTTTCTCAAAGCAAAATATTCTTCGCACATCCCGGGGTTAATATCGAACGTATCACGCGTTTATCTTTCGCGGGGAGATCGCTCTCGCGGAGAGCAATTCGTATTTCGAGCGTACCGCACTTCTGACGAGGCGGTTGCCGAGGTATCGAGCTCGTAAGGACCGCGCCGCCCACCGAAGATCACGATCGCACCGACGTCGGCTCGTTCCCGCTCTCGAGGATCATTGAAGGCGCTGCACGCTCGTAGATTTAACACGCTGCACTTACGCGCGCGTGCCTTTACGGCCGTGGGTCATTCAATAAAAGGCACCACGCACACACAGCGACGCGACGGTGGTCGCGCGGCGCGAACCGGGAGGTTCGACCGAGCTGGCGGACAGTAAAACGAAAAGCGACCGACAAGGACGGAGGAAGAGGAGGAAGGAAGAGCAGTAGAGCACGTAGGTATTGGGTTTATGGAAAACGGCATTCCACGTGGTGATGTCTACTCAATCCTTATCTAAAGCAGTTATATAGAGTCGTTGGGAGTCGCGCCTTCTTCAGAAGGTAATGCACGCCCGGTATTCCCTCCCTCCCCACCCCGCGCTTCACCCCTTCGTCGCCGATCCGCTTCTCCGCCTCTTGCGAGCCCCTCGCAGAATCTTCTCGTTCGGTCTCGCCGCACACGCACGGCCGTGCGCGTGTGCGCGCGCGCGTAATGCTCGCACGCGTTCTCGAGTGTTTGCCAAGAAAGCGCTCCACCGGTGCGGGTATTCCATCGAGCGTTCGCCGCGACCGGCTCTTATATCGCGCCTGCGGGGTTATCGAATCGTGGCGAAACGTACGCCGCGATCAAGCCGTAACCCGACTACGCGCGGATGGCCTATCCTGATAAAGATATCCCGGGGAAAAAGCGCGAGGCGCGCAAACCCAAGGCCGCCTCATATCGCCGGCTTCGGGTACCTGCTGCAACAAGTACGCGTGCAAGTCCGGAACGATGAAAAGAAAATGCTTCTTTTAGCGCGAGATCGGAGATAGCAAACTAGTATCGCGGGGAAGAGAAGACGAATGGCGGAAAAGTTTGACGGCAAATGCGTAAGGTGAAGCGTGAAAAGATATAAAGATAATGAAGACACAAGTCACTTCGGGTATAATTATAGTTAATATCTTCATCGTGTGTCCGATAAATATACGTGTTATCGGTAAATCGTCCGTGGATGAAGTTGTTACCGCGATTAAAAGCGGCGATGAAACCATTAATTATAACCAGATCCGCGGCATTAAATCGAGTTGAGCCGAAGCGGCAAATGTGGGAACACGTTGATATTATAAGAGGAAAATCCCTTACGTCATACGCGTGCCTCATTGTTGGATCAACAATCAAATTCAATCAAACGTGCGCGTCGCTATCCCTCGCGCTGCAATAATAACATGTCTCACCTCGAATCCGAGTGCAAAGTTTCAATCACTCGGAGCGGGTTTCGCTCGGCGCGAGCATCGGACCCGCGGCAATGCGGAAGGTGATTAAATACGAAGAGAGAGAGACATTACTCGCAGTATCTCAACCTTGATCGCCCGGTTTTATGACGTTACGCTTACGGGCGGATAGGCGCAGTTTATATGGGCGGAAAACTCACGCCGTGTGCGCCCTCGATTCGACGGCGGCCCTCGAGAGCATCGTCGTCTCGGGCCCGAGCCTTCCTCCTCTCTCGTATGCGCGAAGGCGTGTCGGGGGGAAAAAAAGTTCTAGATTACGCGTCGAGTGCAACTTTAGTGGCATCGTAAACCGGTATCTTTACCACTCAACGCCCACGCGCCGACGCACTATCCTAGAGCGATCTGCCTATCAACTAGCGTGAAAACTCGGTTTAACACTCTCGCACACTCACTGCGCCTTTCATGACGAGGCACCGTGGCCTCGGCCTTACCTGCTCTTTGCCGCGTCCGCGTTATATACGACTCGACCAAGATCAGACCGCAGCCTTCGAACGCGCGCCAAAGGCGAGCTATGAAAGCGATCGGGATCGATCGCCCGCGTTCCGTTAATTCAATTACATCGTGATCATTACGCCTCCGATGCTTGTATTTGCGCTTGGAATCGTCGCGTGAGGCGAGATAATAATAACGGAGCGATCGACGAGGAAACTCGCTTATCAAGCACGCTTTGGCGATCGGAAAATTTCTCTTTCATTTCCTGAAAAGATAAGACGCGAGTGCTCCGAACGGAATCGCGTTTGTACTGAGATTCTCTAAAAGAAGTGCACACAAGATGAATAGCAAATTCCAG